TTTGTTTGTTTGTTTGTTTTTTCTGTGCAGAAGCTTTTCAGTTTAATTAAGTCCCATCTATTTGTCTTTGCTTTTGTTGCATTTGCTTTTGGGTTCTTGGTTATGAAGTCTTTGTCTAAGCCAATGTCTAGAAGGATTTTTCTGATATTATCTTCTAGATTTTTTTTTTTTTTTTTTTTTTTTTGAGGCAGAGTCTTGTTCTGTCACCCAGGCTGGAGTACAACGGCATGATCTTGGCTCACTACAACCTCTGCTTCCCAAATTCAAGTGATTCTCCTGCCTCAACCTCCTGAATAGCTGGGATTATAGGCATGTGCCACCATACCTGGCTAATTTTTGTATTTTTAGTAGAGACAAGGTTTCATCATGTTGTCCAGGCTGGTCTCAAACTGCTGACCTTGTGATCTGCCCACCTCAGCCTCCCAAAGTGCTGGGATTATAGGCGTGAGCCACTGTGCCTGGCCTATCTTCTAGAATCTTTATGATTTCAGGTCTTAGATTTAAGTATTTGATCCATCTTGAGTTGATTTTTGTATAAGGTGAGAGATGAGGATCCAGTTTCTTTCTTCTACATGTGGCTTGACAATTATCCCAGCACCATTTCTTGAATAGAGTGTCCTTTCCTCACTTTATGTTTTTCTGTGTTTTGTTGAAGATCAGTTGACTGTAAGTATTTGGGTTTATTTCTGGGTTCTGTATTCTGTTTCATTGATCTACGTGCCTATTTTTATACCAGCACCATGCTGTTTTGGTAACTGTTACCCTATAGTATAGTTTGAAGTTGGGTAATGTGATACCTTCAGATTTGCTTTTTCTTTATTCTTGCTTTGGCTCTGTGGGCTCTTTTTTTGGTTCTATATGAAATTTAGGATTTTTTTCTAGCTCTGTGAAGAATGATGATGATATGTTGATGGGAATTGCATTGAATTTGTGGATTGATTTTGGCAGTATGGTCATTTCCACAATATTGATTCTACCCATCCATGAGCATAGGATGTGTTTCCATTTGTTTGTGTCATCTATGATTTCTTTCAGCAGTGTTTTGTAGTTTTCCTTAAAGAAGTCTTTCACATCCTTGGTTAGGCATATTCCTAAGTATTTTTTTGTTTGTTTGTTTGCAGCTATTGTGAAAGGGGTTGAATTCGAATTCTTGATTTGATTCTCAGCTTAGTAGCTGTTGGTGTACAGCAGAGCTACTGATTTGTGTACACTAATTTTGTGTCCTGAAACTTTGCTGAATTCATTTACCAGCTTAGGAGCTTTTGGGAGGAGTCTTTAGGGTTTTTTAGGTATATGATTATATTATCAGAAAACAGTGAGCGTTTGACTTCCTCTTTACTGATTTGGACGCCTTTATTTCTTTGTCTTGTCTGATTGCTCCGGCTAAGAATTCCAGTACTGTGTTGAATAGAAGTGGTGAGAGTGGGCATCCTTGTCTTTTTCCAGTTCTCATGGGGAATGCTTTCAACTTGTCCCCATTCACTATAATGTTGGCTATGGGTTTGTCATAGATGGTTTTTATTACCTTAAGGTATGTCCCTTCAATGCCAACTTTGCTGAGGGTTTTAATCATAAAGAGATGCTGGATTTTGTCAAATGCTTTTTCTGCATCTATTGAGATGATCATGTGATTTTTGTTTTTAATTTTGTTTATGTGGTGTATCATATTTATTGACTTACGTATGTTAAACCGTCCTTGCATCCCTGGTGTGAAACTCACTTGATCATGGTGACACACACTTTAAATAAGCAGACACAGACAAGTTGAAAGTAAATATATGAAAAGGATATACCATGGAAACACTAAGCATAAGAAAATGGAAGTGGCTATATCAATATCAAAAAAGTAGATATAAAAAAGAGTATTGCTAGAGATAAGAGGGGATGTTTTACAATGATAAAAAGCCAATTCCTCATAAAGACATAAAATACTAAATATATATATACACCTAATAATAGAAATTTAAAACACATGAAGCAAAAATTGACTATGGGAAGAAACTAAGGGGAGATCTAGGGAAAGAAACAGAAAATTCCATTATCACAGATAGAGATTTTAATGCCCTTCTGTCACTAACTGATGCAGCAAGTAGACAAAAACAACCAATCAAAGAAATAAATCGACACACAAAAAACCCCAGTAAGGGCTTAGAAGATTTAAACAGCATTACTAAGCAACTTGATTTAATTTATATTTGTAGAACAATGCACTCAGCAATAGCATAATACACATTCTTTTGACATGTTCAAGATAGATGATAGACTGGGACATTTAAATCCATCCAAATAATATGGAGTATGTCCTCTGATCATGATGGAATTATATTAGAAATTGATAACAATTAGACATTTAGAAAACCCTATTTGGAATTTAGGCCATATATGTCCATATAATCCATGGGGCAAAGAATAAATCACATGAGGAAAGAGAAAATAGTTTGAATTGACTGATAATAAAAACACAACATGCAAAATTGTTAGGACGCAGATGAAGAAACAGCCATAAAAGCAACTAAGAAATTGGAGTAGATTATATATCTGTTAAAGAAACTGAATTCATTATCAAATGCTTTCTCACAAAGAAAACTCCAAGCTCACACTATTTCATTAGTGAATTCTGCCAAACATTTAAGAACTAAGTAATACCAATTTTACACAAACACTTTCAGGAAATAGAGGAAGAGAGACTATTTTCCAGTGTATTTTGAGGCCAGCACAACCCTGATTCCACATCTGACGATTCCAAGGAAAGAAAATTACAGAACTATTACTCACAAATAGAGATGCAAAAATATTTAACAAAATATTATAAGTTGAATAAAAAATATATAAAATGGATACTAACTCATGACAAAGTAGGGCTTACTTAAGTATGCAAGTTTAACATCTAAAAAATTAACCAGTATAACTCACTGCATTAACAGCACAAGGAGAACAATGACATGATCATCTTAATAGTTCCAGAAAAAGCATTCAGCAGAATCCAATACCCATTTATAAATTTTAAAAAATATCAGCATACTAGGAATGAAAGGGAACTTCCTTACTCTGATAAAGGGCATCTGTGAAAAGCCTACAGATAACATCATATTAAATGGTGAAACATCAAATTATTTCCCCACTTGCATTGGTGGAAGTATGGCCACTCTCACCACTTATATTTAACTTTGCTCTGTACTTAGTCTTATAAGTGAATTTGTCAAGGTCACATGACTCAAAATAAACATACGAAATTGTATTTCACATGAAATTATATTTCTATAGTAATGAACAACAAGAAAATGACATTAAAACAGTAATATAATTCATGATATAAAAATCTAGAATTAACCTAATCAAAGATGTGCAAGAAACCTCTACATGGAAAACTACAAACGTGGCTGAGAGTAATAAAGACAAGGAGAGATATACCATATTCATGGATACAATATTCAATATATTTAAGATGTCCATTTCCACAAGTTGATCTATAAATTCTAAACAATTTTAATCAAAGTCCTAGCAGGCTATTTTGCAGGGGAGGGAAGAAAAAATTGATAAGATGATTGTAAAATGTATATGAGTATGCAAAGGATTTAGAACAGCCAAAACAATCTTGAAAAATAACAAGGTGGATGTGTGTACACTACTCAGTTTCAAGACTTACTAAAAAGCTATCATAATCAAGACTGTGGTTTTGGTGAAAGAAGGAATAGATTGACTTGCACAGATCAACAAATCCCACATATATGATCAATTTATTTTCAACAAGTTGCCAAATTTAATCAAGGACAAAAGGAGAGAGTTTTAAAAAGTGGTGCTGGAAAAACTGGGTATTAGTATGAAAAATAATGGACCTTAGTTCCTACATCATACCATACACTTGTGGTTCTCACACTTTAGTGTGCAGCAGAATTCCAAGGAGGGCTCATTAAAATCCCGATTTCTGGGCCCCGCCCACAGAGTTTCTGATTCAGCAAGTCTTGTGTGACTTGTGTGGACAATCCCAATGTCCAGCAACAGGTGGATGAATAAGCAAATGTGGTTTACTCATCCCAAGGAATATAACTATGCAGTTAAAAACAAAGGGCTTAGTGATACACTGAACAACATGTATGGATCTCAAAGACATGATGTTGAGAGACAGAAGCTGGACACAAAAGCGTCTGTACTGCACAGCTCCATTCATAAGGAACTCTAAAACAGGTGCATCCAGTCCGTGGCGCTGCACATCAGAGCAGAGGCCGCCTGGGTGGGAGCCAGGGGCTTTGGGCAATGGCTGAAGGCACGTGGGGGAACCTGCTGGGCTGACAAAAATGTTCTATGTCTTGATCCTGGTGGCGGCTACCCAGGTTTGTACAATGGTCAAAACTCTTTGACACTGTACACTGACTTATTAAATGTCAATAGAAAAAGAGGAAAAAGATGACCCCAAAAAAGGACAAGACAGAATCTGAAAACAGGAGGATTGAACTGTCCTGAATGTAACAGGGGCTGCGGAATCTGAGCCACGGGGGCTTGAACCAGTACGGGCAGGGTTTCTGCGTGGATGAACGAGGCAGGATTGGAAAAAACCTAGACTGTTCTTTTCTCCAGTGAGTTGAGCTTCCTCAGCAAAAGATGGGGAAATTGGGAATGAATGCACAAAGGCACCAGTGCATATGCAATCGCAGAGTTCAGCTGTGTGGATGTGGACCATGGAGTAACAAGACAGAGGAGGAAAGAGCAAAGCTCTCTAAGGGCCCAGCGTGCAGAAGTCACTGGCCTCAGGCCCGGGCTCCCCTGCCAAGTGGCGGGATGGATATAGAGGCCAAGCCTGATGGAAATCTTCTTCTCTGCATACCCTCGCCCTGCCCCCACCCCCACGGGGAGGCCAGCTCTGGGCTTGATCCGTTACCCAGACAGAAAGAGCTGGTTTGGGTATCCTGAGCCTGCCTGACTCCCAGAAGTACCTTAGGCAGGACCTGCGACCCAGCCGTATCCCAGACGGCGGCAGCAGCCCGCCCTGCAGACGTCCTCACCTGGCCCACCTGGTCCTGGAGCTGGGCCTTCTCTCGCCCCAGCAGGGCTGCCTGCCCCTCTAGTTGCTCCTGCTGCTGCTCCAGGTGCCCACAGGCCTGCTGCAGGCCCCTGCACTCTGCCTGCTCCAGCAACAGCTGCTGTTCCGCCTGGGCCAGCTGCTCCCTGGCCCGGACCTGCTCCTGCTCCAGAGTCTTCTGCTGCTCCCGCAGCTGGTCCCGCTCCTGCTCCAGCTGCCACCAGGTGTCAGGGGCTCTGCATCCACTCCCCGCATGCTCAGTCCCTGTAGGCCAGCCACTCCCGAGGCCTGCCCCAGGGGCACTGTCTTCCCTCCCTCAGGCCTGGGCCAGGGGCACCGTCTTCCCTCCCTCAGACCTGGCCAGGGCCAGTCAGGCTCCCTCGTCCCCAAAACCTTGGACCAGGAGAGGAAGTGATCTGGGAGAATGGAAGGAAGGCCCAGGGCTGGGAGACCCACAGCCACCTGGGAACCAGGTTCCGGCGAGGCCCGCCCCGCTGGCCCTTGTCTCACCTGCAGGGTCAGGTGGTTCAGGTCACTTTTGTCCTGAGCCAGCGCCTCCATCAAGGCGGCCATTGCAGCCAGCGAGTCCCTCTGCTCCACTCCCTCTGACTTCAGCCGCCTCACAAGAAGCTCCAGGTCCGCATTGCTGCACTCAGCCTGGGGCAGGGAGGGGGATGCCAGGGGGGACCTTTAGCTTCCAGGGCAGGGCTGTTGCCGGTGGGAAAGGCGTGAGCCCGGAGCTGCAGAGGTGTGCAAGCCAGAGCTCCTGGGCGGACATGGTGGGAAGGTCGCCACAGTGGGGAGGTCTCAGGACCAAGGGTGGCTCCAGACACTGAGGCTCCAACCAGAGGAGGTGGCTGGTGGGCCAAGGAGAAGCCACGAAGAAGCAGACGTGGCCAGCAGGGTTGAGAGCAGCTGGGCCAGGCTGGTGCCTACTGGTTGGGGACGGGAAAGGTCTTTGGTGACTTTGGGAGCTCTGGTGATGGGCTGAGGGTCCCAGCAGGCAGGAGAGAGGGAGTGGGAGGCCAGGTCAGTGAGGCTGGGGTGGGTGGGGGCAGACGGGAGAGGGGGTGGGGTTGGGGGGAGCAGAGGCGTACCCGCGCCAGGGCGCTGCGCAAGCCCTCCCTCTCGCTCTCCACGACATCCCGCTGCAGCTGTGCTGTGCTCAGTGCCTCCCGGGCTGATGCCAGCTCCTCTCTGAGCCCAGAGACCTTCTCCTCCAGCTGCTGCAGGCGGCCTTGACTGAGGCCCCAGACCAGAGGGCGGGAGATCCCTCAGGGTAAGCAGTGGCTGCCCCATGGGATTTCAGGCAGGCGGTTGCCTGCAACTCCCTCCAAGCCCAGGGAGGCCCAGGAGGAGCATGGAGTCCCTGGAGGACCAGGAAGGCAGGGAGCCCTTTGCTTCCAGCCTTCACTTCTGGGTCAGGGGAGGCACAGGTGCCTCCACGGGGACAGGAGGGGTGGGGCCCCACATCTGCTGGGCCCACAGGGTAGTGGATGTGCACCCAGGTGGGGCACTGGGCCAGAGGGAGTGAGGATTGGTCTGGAGGATGGTGCAGCCTGGGGAGGAGCCTGGAGAGCCCCCGCCCCTGCCCTGTCAGGGCCGCCACCACACCCTGAGATGAGACAGGAAAAGAAGCAGACCCGTTGCCCAAGGCCAAGTGGCTGATGGTGGCAGAGCGGGGTCTCTCCTGTGGGAGGGGCCCTGTCCACCCAGCCACCGCGGCGCACCTGGTCTCCAGTGCCCTGCAGCTCCGCTCCCTCTGCAGAGCCAGCTCCTCCCTCCGCTCTGCCTGCAGCAGGAGGCTTCTCTGTAGCTCCGTGGCCTCGGCCTCCAGCCCCTGCTTCTCCGCATCTGCAGCATCTGCCTTCCCTTTCAGCTCCTCCACCACCATCTCCAGAGCAGCCTTCTCCCTGGGGTTGGAAGGGCCAGAGTTGGGGCAGCCCTGGACACATTCAAGGTGCACCATGTGCCTTGGTGGGCAGTTGGGGCTGGGTGGATGCCAGCCTGTGAGACTGCATGGGCAGAGGGAGCCCGAGAAGCACACAGGGTCTCACTGGCGGGTGTGGCCCACCCTGGCCCATGCTCAACTTGTGCTCACAGAACTCTGCTGGAAGGAAAGGACCCCTCCCCGGCTGGCATCCCCTCCAGCTCTAGAGGTGCTTGTCCTGACAGCAGCCCTGGGCCCTCAGGATCCCCCACTCCCTGTGCAAGGCCATGCAACCCCTTCACCCCGTTACCTCCCCAGGAGCTTGCAGGATGCCCGGCACTGCTGCACCTCGAGCCTCTGGGCCTCCAGCTGGCCCCAAAGGGCCTCTTGTTCCCGTGCCTGCTCCCGAGCCCGCTCCTGCTGGAGTTTCTGTGCAGCCCACAGCTCCTGCCGGCACTCGGACAGCTGCTCCTGGAGCCCGGCTGCCACTGCCTGGGAGGACTCCAGCTGCAGGCACAGCTCCTGCCCGGGTGGGGCGCGGTGTGGGTCCCTCTGACTGAGGCAAGCTTTGCCCACTGAGGCCCACCAGGGCTTGAGACTCCCCAAAAGGACCCCCCCAAACACTGGAGCCCCTCCCTGGGGCCATGGGGCTCAGGGGCAGGCCCTATAACTACCCTTTAGCCTGAGGGGCTCATGTTTCTGCCCTCAGGGAGACGGGGGTCCTGCGGGCTGTGGTTGCCCACCTGTTCCCGCCGCCGCCGCCTCTCGATGGCTGCCCGCACGGCCTGCAGTACAGGGTCCAGGGTGGCTGGGGAGTGGGTATGTGGTGGGGACGCCCCTTGATGGGGGGATGTGGCACGTTGGGGGCTCCTCAGTGGGCGCCGTGGCTCCCCCAGTTCAGTGATGCTCCATGACAGCTCCAGGCACTGGGTATCCTCCTGGGCCACCTTCAAGGTGCAGAGAGGAAGGGATAGAGGGGCCCAGAGCACAGGGCCATGATTTGATGGGGACCGTGCAGACAGTCCTGAGGGTCCCTGTGGGCCACCTCCATCTTCGCCACTGAGAGGACAGGTGAGGGGCCGCACCTTCCTGATGCGCCCCAAAGTGCACTGCAGGGACCCCGCCTTGCCCTGCAGGCCATCCGCCGCCCCCCCGGGCCACCACTGCACCAGGCTTCCTGTGGCAGACAGACCCCCACCACACAGCCACTCCCGTCCCGCCCACCAACCAGGCTCTGCAGGTCGGTTCTGAGAGAAGCGATGGTCCTCGCCTTCTGCTCATTCTGCTCTGTGAGCTTCTCCACCAGCAGCGTTTGCTCCGAGAGTCTGGGAGGAGTTGGGGATGGGGGGAGGGTGAAGGGCAGGGCCCAGAGGATGGGCACCCAGGCATGCCCTGGCTCTGCCCAGACTCCTCCGTGCAGTGGCCCCCCTGCCGGTGCTGGGTAATGCCTCTGTGTGAGTGGCCTCCGTCCCTGGTCTGAGCACGCGTCTCTCCTGCCACAGAGCCTCCAGTGGCTCCCACGGTCTCAGAAGTCAAGGCCCACACGCTGACCAGCTCTCCAGCCTCAGATGCAGTGACTGCCCAAGGCTCTGCCCCGTCCTTATGGCACGACAGAGGAAGTGCCCACTGCAGGCCTTTGTCCGGCCAGTCCTTCTGCCTGGAGCACCTGTCACCATCAGTCTGACAATAAGTGATTTTACTGTTCCTTCCTTCCCAGGACCCACCTTCTTACTAAAGACCCCGGGTCCCCTTCCTGTGGCTCAGGCCCTGGTGTGCGGCCCCTGCAGCCCTTGGGCCCCCATGTCCTGTCCTGCTCGTCTGGGTCTAGGTTGTGGTGTGTTTGACTCAGCTAGACCCCCTGAGGGTAGGGAGGGCCTCTGCCTGTCAGCCTGGCAGGGTGTTTGTGGCCAAGTGGGCCCCGGACCCCCGGACCCCCGGTTGTGAGGCGTCGGCCCCACGGCCAGCAGGTTAGACCTCCACTGGGGAGCCACCTCCCCACTTCCTGCTGAAGCTGCCCTCAAGAGACCTCTGAGCCCCCGATGTGGGTGGTGGGTCCGAAACCTTCCATAGTCACGGCGAGATCGCAGACCCCAGAGAGGGTGTGGGTGTCCTTCACGTGGGGCAGGAGGAGGCCTGGTCCCTCTTCCTGCCTCCGTTTTTAAACTATTTACCTAAGGTAAGCTCTTCCCCTGGAACAACGTGCCCTGCTTTAAGTCCTGAAAACTCCAATTCCGGGTGCTGACCCCCAGGACACAAACCCAGTGAGTTCCCTGCTGTGCTCCCCGAAACCCTCACTGTAGGAGACCCCAGTGCCTGCCTCCTGGGCATTAGGGGAGTGCCCTGCAGCCACTGGGATGGTGATTCTGAAAAGTGTGCACCACCAGTGACGCCAGGGCCCCACCTCCCCTGGTACGGTGTGACCACATCTGGGATCCATAGCTGCTGGGCAGGCTGGATGGGCCCCACCCCTCCGGGCCCTCCCTGTGCCTGCCTGCTGACCCTGGGCACCCACCTGGCCTGGAGCGCCACCTTCTCTGTGTCCCAGCGGACCTGCAGCTGCAGCATCTCCCCAACCTTGTCCCGAAGCTGCTGCCCCAGGGTGCTGGCCGTGCTGCTGGCCGACAGTCGCAGGTTGGAGTCGAGGTTCAGGCAGGCAGTGTGCAGGCGGCGGGCTGTCTTGGCCGTGTCTGCCTGCAGGTCAGCGAGGCCCCTGGGAGACAAGGGCAGCACCTGTGGCTGACTCAGGACCCATCTGCAGAGGGAGGGCCTGGTCCCATCAGTCCCACAGAGGACCCCCTCCTTGGCCATCCTCAGGAGAAGCCCCCGCTGCGTGGCATTGATGGTTCCCATGTGTCACCAAATGCCAGGAAGCAGCTGGGGAGGAGTGAGCAGGGGCGGGGCCAGACTGCAGCAGCCTTCACTGAGTCATCGACCCTCTAAGCCCCTGACTCTTCCTGTGCAAGGAGCTGCTACCTATGTAAGGGCTAGCAGGGTGGTACCAGGACTGACCTCCAGTGTGGCACCCAGCAAGGCTGGACAGACCACGGAAGCTCCATCTGGATAGGTGTCCCCCACCCCACAATGTCCTGTCCACCCTCCTCTCATCTCTCCTTGGTGTCCCCCACCCACCTCCCTGGCCTGTTTGTACCTCTCCCTGACTGCCCTCCTCGGCCACCCTCATCACTGCTCCCACTGTCCAGCCTGAGGCCCAGCCAGGGCTGGTTGAGAAGCCGGCAGGCCAGGGCTATTGCACCCACGGAAGGGCCCGCCCCAGGCACCACCTCCCCTCTCCCGGAGGGGGCCTCAGCTCCCAGCAGCCTGGTGCCTGGCCCCAGGTGGGGCAGCCGGCACTCACCTCTCAGTGGCTGCTCGCAGCTCCGCCAGGTCTGTGCCCAGCACCACGGCCTGTCTCCACAGGAGAAGGAGGTCCCGGGGCTTCTCCAGGCCCCCTGGCCGGGTCTGAAAGCAAGAGGCCTCCTGTCCACTCCAGGCTGGGGCGCCTTTACCCTCCCTGAAGCCCATTCTTTTCCAGGTGCCATGTCCCTCTCCATGGGGGCTGGAAGTGGACCCAGCATCCCAAAGTCCCCATATCTCACAGGCAAAGGAGCCATGGGCTCCCCCAACCCCACCCTGGGGCCATACTCTGCCTCTCCCTAGGAGATGACCTGGGGATATGACCACATTCAGCCCTTCCAGGCCAGCCTGCGTGCATGGAGGTGGAAGGGTGGGGTATGTCGGTCCCTGAAGAGAGAAGGTGCTGACTCAGTCTCAGCTCCCCAGCTACTCTCAGGAACTGCTCAGGCTCAGAACACTCCAGAACCAGGCCCGGTCCCCTGCTGGGGCATGGGGCAGACAATTCGGCGGCACGTGGCTCCTACCCTCCCACTCTGAGGGAAGAGGACGGGCCTCCTTTCTCCAGTACAGTCTTTCTCCTTACTCTGGAGACTCCTGAAGATGTCCAGGTGTTGGTCTGGCACTTCAAAGGTGCCAGGGACATAGAAGCAAATTAGAAGCCTCAGGACTGGGGTTCAGCAGGGAGGAGAGTGGGGAAGCCACTGACGTTAGAAGCTTCTAGCACTGGGGTTCAGCAGGGAGGAGGGTGGGAAGCCACTGACGTTAGAAGCCTCTAGCACTGGGGTTCAGCAGGGAGGAGGGTGGGGAAGCCACTGACGTTAGAAGCCTCTAGCACTGGGTCCCCAGTTCCGCAGGGAGGAGGGTGGGAAGTCACTGACGTTAGAAGCCTCTAGCACTGGGGTTCCGCAGGGAGGAGGGTGGGAAGTCACTGACGTGAGAAGCCTCTAGCACTGGGGTTCCGCAGGGAGGAGGGTGGGAAGTCACTGCTGAGACAAGGCCAGTGATTAGGCTGCAACGGAGCCGAGTGGGAGGACTCTGTGTTGGGGGCAGGAATGGGGGAACCGTGTGTGTTCAGTGCTTCCAGCCTTGCAAGGAGCTAAGATGAAAGCCAGGAGTCTCAGAGTCTCCACACCACCTTCTAGGCCCTGCACTCGCCTTCTCCTGCTCGCCAACCTCTGGAACTCAGGGGGCTACTGTGTTCCTACCACCTCTCCCTGCCTGTGACAACCCCAGCCCTGCTCCTCCAGGTTGCCTTCAGGTAGAGCACTCACATCCTGCCTGTTCTCCAGAACTCGCACAGAGGACTATGGCCAGAAACCAGCGGAAACAATAGAACGAGACCTTGAAGAACTTCAGGTATTAGATCATCATCTCATCTTCATGAAGCTTGCCTGAACCCCTCACCTGATCCCACACCTGAGGTTCCCCCCAGCTGAGCCCATAACACCTGGCCATACACCCTCCAGAGGGCACTCCCCTCTGTGCCCATTACACCTGGCCATACACCCTCCAGAGGGCATGCCCCTCTGTGCCCATTACACCTGGCCATACACCCTCCAGAGGGCACTCCCCTCTGTGCCCATTACACTTGACCATGCACCCTCTAGAGGGCATGACTCTCTGAACCCACACCTGGCCATACACCCTCTGGAGTGTGCCCATGATCCCTGGCCATACACCCACCAGAGGGCATGCCCCTCTGTGCCCATTACACCTGGCCATACACCCTCCAGAGGGCACTCCCCTCTGTGCCCATTACACCTGGCCATACACCCTCCAGAGGGCACTCCCCTCTGTGCCCATTATACCTGGCCATACACTCTCCGGAGGGCGCGCCCCTCTGTGCCCATTATACCTGACCATACACCTTCTGGAGGGGACACCCCTCTGTACCCATTACACTTGTCTGTACATCCTCTGAGGGCAAGACTCTGAACCCATACCTGGCCATACACCCTCTGGAGGGGACACCCCTCTTTAGTTAGAAAATAAAAAATCACCAAAGGCACAAGGAAACAAAGGACCATGATCAGAAACCAGCAGAAACAACAGAACCAGACCTTAAAGAATTTCAGATATTAGATAGTCAGACACAGGCTACAAAAAGACTATTCTTAACATGCTCCAATAAATAAATAAGAGGCTTGAAAATGTGAGTTAAGAAGCCAGGCGAGGTGGCTCTCGCCTGTAATCCCAGCATTTTGGGAGGCTGAGGCGGGCGGATCACCTGAGGTCAGGAGTTTGAGACCAGCCTGGTCAACACAGTGAAACCCCATCTCTACTGAAAATACAAAAATTATCTAGGTGCGGTGGCACACACCTGTAATCCCAACTACTCTGGAGGCTGAGGCGGGAGAATCGTTTGAACCCGGGAGGCGGAGGTTGCAGTGAGCTGAGATCTTGCCACTGCACTCCAGCCTGGGTGACAGAGCAAGACTCTGTCTCAAAGAGGAAAAAAAGAAAATGTGAGTTAAGAGTAAGCTATTTAATATATAGGAAAGAATGAAACAGAACTCTTAGTGATGAAAAATACCATATTTGCAATTTAAGCTAAGTAGCCAAATTTAACAGAGATTAGACATCAGAAGAGAAAACTGATAGACAGAAATGGAAATTTGAAGAAATTATCCAGAATATAGTCCAGGGTAATAAAAGGAACAAAACCGTGAACGGTGCCTGGGAGACAGCGTAAGAATGGCTAACACACGTCTAGCCGGAGCTCAGAGGAGGGGAGGTGGGTGGTGAGCATCGGCAATGTTTAAAGAATATTGACTTTCCAAAAACAACAAGTGACGCAGAGGCTCCACGAGCCCTGAAGTGGGATAAACAAATAAATCTACACGCAGACACAACACAGGGACATGGCACAACCACCAAGTCAGAGCAGGGATCTTAAGAGCAGCCAGGTGAGAGGACACGTTACCTTGATAGGGAGCCAGTCAGAATCCAGGCAGCCTGGAAGCTGACTTCTCAACGGCAGCAGCGGAAGGAGAAGGAGAAAGCAGATCTTTAACGTGCCGAGAGAAAGCAACTGTCAACCAACCTTGAGTTTCCCTCAAGGACAAAGGGAAAATAAAGACCTTGGTGATCAAATGCCAAACTGAACTCAGGGACCCTCTCCTTCTGGCATTTGTTCTCACACAGCGGAATCAGCTCCTGTGTTCATTTGATGACCTGCCCCGAGGTCTGAGGACGAGGACGGGGACCAGGCAGTGAGGGGAACAGGAGATCTGCTCAAATGCCTCGAGCCAGCAGGCCTAGCGTAGGCGATGACTCCTTGCTGATAGCACGGTCCCGCTGGCGCTCTGCAGAGGCCGGCATTCCCTCTCAGGGGGTAAACCTCGGCTGGTGTGTCTGACATCTGCCTTTTAGGAGAAGCAGCTGTGGCGGGGCTCGGGGCTGGGACCTGGCCCCCGTGGGGGTGAGTGCGGCCCTTCTGGGACAGGCTTGTCTGAGGGACGTCTGTAGAGGCAGCCTGAGGCCAGAACTGCAGCTGCCCCTCCGGCTCCTGCCTCCACCTGGAACAGCACATCTTCCGGGGGGCCCTCTTCCTGGGAAGATCCTTGCCCATGGTGCCCGTAGTGTGCAGGGGCTGGGTGTCCAGGTCCCCTTTGCTGGAGGGCTGTTGGGAACACCTTCAGGCCCTCAGGGACTGCCTGACTGCAGAGCCACATTACCCAAGGCTACAGCAGCTTCAGGGGGTCCCACGACCATGGAGAGATCTGAGCAAGGCATGAACACCTGGACGTCTCCCTCCCACAGGGGCTGGTGCCTGCAACCCTGTGCCCTGACCCCCTGCATGCCTCGGGGTTTCAGAAGTTGGAGTGAGTAAGGCTGCAGGGGGACCTGGGGGGCCACGGCCAGGCGCCACAAGCAGCGGGCCAGCCCCAGGCTCCTTCCAGGGTTCCCCCTCCTGAAGTCTGGCCAGGAGTTCAGACTATGGAGAAAACCTGCCTCTCCAAACAGGGTGGTCCACACCAGAGCCGGGATGTGGCCCCAGTGCCCCATTCTCAGAGCCCTGCCCTCCTTCTCTGGGTGGGGGGCAGTGGGGGTGGACCAGGGAGTCCCTCACTCCACAGACTGCTGTGGTCAAGCCAGGTTGGGGACATGGTGTGGCAAGAAACTGTGGCCTTGTCCCCAAGAGGGATAGTTGCTGAGCCAGCACACCCTCACCAGGTCCCTGCCTGCTACCCAGGCATAGGCACCCAGACAGGCGGCTGCGGGGTGGGCAAGGGTTGGGGGAGCACCTGTCTCTGGGCCCAGCGCCTCAGCTCCAGCTCGCCCTGCAGGCGCTGCACGCTGCCCGTCGTCCCAGCCAGCTCCCGGGCCAGCGCGTCGTTGGCCTTCTTCATGTGCTCCAGCTGCTCCCGCAGGAGCGCGTTCACCTGGCAGAGGCCAGTGCTCCTGGACAGAGAACCCCCAAGGAGTGGCCGGGGTAGGCAGCCTCTCCTAAGAGGCGCTCAGAGTCCCCAAGTCAAGGGGCTTGAATGGAGCCCCAAACCCTCTGGCCCAACTGATCCCGGCTCAGGTGCACAGCCCCTGCTCTGCCCCTGCCTGCCATGGGCCCCACCAGCCCCTGCTCTGCCCCTGCCTGCCATGGGCCCCACCAGACCCTGCTCTGCCCCCACCTGCCATGGGCCCCACAAGGGACCCCTAGACTGAGTGCCAGCATCAAGGTGGCTCTCCCAGGTGGTGCCAGCCCAGTGCCCTCCCGCCTTCCTGCGACATCTGCCCTCTGTCCTCCCCCAAGTCCCTGCCCCGAGCTCTCCTGGCTCTGCCTCTACAAACTTGGCCCGCCCCTCAATGCCTGAGACAAGGTGCCAGGGGATGGGAGGGAGGTGCCCTTCGCGGGGCTGGGTGACCCAGAGAGGGAGTTGGACATGCCCGGGGTGGGGGACGGCCTCTGCTGCACCCTGGGGCCTTCCCCGCCATGAGTAGGTCAACACTTGCAGCAGTAGGGGTGCAAGTCTGCCAGGTGGGTGGCCCTCAGGAGCCGGCACCCCTGCCAGGCTGCCGTGGTTCACTCACTGCTCCTCTCTGCCCACCAGACTAAGCCTCCTCTTGGGTTATTTTTCTTCCCCCTCAAAACCAGTTTTCAAAAGTTTCTCAGCCCTTTGATTCCTTTTCCAGATTCCTGGAGGATGAACCAAATGTGGCAATATTCTACAAACAACTTAACCTGCCCAGGTCTGGGAGACTGGTGGGCCTGGGTTAGCGTGGGGGCTGGGTTAGTGTGGGGGCTGGGTTGGCGTGGGGGCTGGGTTGGTGTGGGGGCTGGGTTAGTGCGGGCAGGGTGGGGGCCGGGCAGAGGCACCCTCAATAAGCCCAGGCATGACCTCGTCAGCACCATCTCAGGGTGTGAGAGTGGGTGATCCACACCCGGGACTCAGGTGTGGCTCGTGACCTGGGTCTGTTGCCAGGGTCCTAATGTCAGCGCTCACTGATGGTGGGAGTGGGGGCTCTCTCCCTCTCTGCCTGTTATTCACCCCTCCCTGTTATTCATGAGCCAGGCTGACCCGTGGCAGGGAGGATGGCCGTGGAGAGGCTGCCATGTGGAAGGCTGGCACCAGCCCCGTCCCCCACAGTGAGCAGCCCTTGCCCCTGGGGTGTGGAGCCAGGGAGGGGTCTGGTAGCGATGGGTAGAGTCGTGATGCTGCTACTATAATAGGATTGCTGCTGAGCCGCTCTCGGAGGCCGGGACGGCGGTGCCTGGTCGCATGAGAGGCCCGCGCTGAGCCCGGGAGGCTGAGCGCTTCACTGTTTCCACTCGGCCTGGACTCTCCCCACGGCAAGAGGGAGCGCCCTGAGGCCCCCACACTGCCCAGCCACTCAAGTCCCCGCGCCCAGCTGCGCCTTCTCCAGCCCCTGCCCTGCTGTGGAGGCCTGGGCTGACTCCCAGGGAAACTGAACTCATAGCTGCTTTGGGAAGAGCTGTCGGTAGCCCCCAAGGTACAGAGGGGCCCACTGCTTCTCGGGGGGAAGGCTGTGCTTCTGGAGCCCTGACTGCCCCCCGCCTGGCCTCACCTCTCCTCAGCAACCTCCAGACGGCCAAGGGCCTCCTCCAGATCCACGCTGTGCTCCAGCTCCGACCTCCGCAGCTGAGCCTCAGTGGTCTCCAACCGGGCCTGCAGCTGGGGAACAGCAATAGCCCACCTGGTCTGGCTGCTCCTGAACCCGCCGGGCAGGGGCTGGGGTATCTTGGGCACAAAGCCGACCTTGGTGGGGAAGAAAGGGCTCCCTGGGGCCCCACAGCAGGGGCTGGGGTTGGGTCTGGTGAGGCGCAGGCCCTTTCACACAATGAACCTGACAGGCAGCCTCCTGCCCTGTGCCAAGTGCCCGTAGCTGGCAGAGGAGGGGAGGGGCAGGGGCACGCTGGGTTGCACTGATGTGCTGATTCCATCAGGTCTTGAGGATAGCGTGAGTATGGTGGCCTAGTGGGGGCACGGCTCTGGGGGCCACTGGAGCATGCCCACATTTCATTTACAGATGGGTAAACTGAGGCCCCACTGCCCCAGCTACCCGGGCAGCCCAGCTGTCAGGGCAGGGGCAGGGGTTTCAGGGCTTGCTTCAGGCACACAGGGGCCGGATGGAAGGTCACTGGGCTGTCTCTGGGGCTGCCCCCTGGAGAGTGAGTGAGTGAGTGTGGTTCCCTCCACCTGGGCCTCCTGCCTGAGTCCTGCACCTCACCTACAGGGTGCAGGACCACACCCACCATGATGTGGGCCCACTGCCCAGGGCCACTCCGCTGTCACTGGGCCAAGACTGAACTTAGGCCCAGGAAATCAAGGGACAAGGATGGCCCAGGTAGAAGGGTGGAGGGGAAGGCAGCAGGCCTGGTGCCTCAGCTGTGGCTGTGCCAGGGCTGAACGCATGGGAGAGCCGAGGGGCCCCTCCTCAGCCAGCAGCCGGAAGAGAAGGGGGCGCTGGAAGACCCTGGAGGAGCCGGGTGGGGTCTGGGGGTGCCACCCCAGGATGGAGATGCCACGGTCAGGCACTCCGGCCACCCAGACCCCGTTCCCCCTGTCTTGGGGGTAACTTGGAGTGAGGCCCAGCCTCCTGGCACCCACACTTGGGGGTAACTTGGAGACCCAGCCTCCTGGCACCCACACTTGGGGGTAACTTGGAGACCCAGCCTCCTGGCACCCACACTTGGGGGTAACTTGGAGACCCAGCCTCCTGGCACCCACACTTGGGGATAACTTGGAGACCCAGCCTCCTGGCACCCACACTTGGGGATAACTTGGAGACCCAGCCTCCTGGCACCCACACTTGGGGGTAACTTGGAGTGAGGCCCAGCCTCCTGGCACCCACACTTTGCCTGCTGAGCCACTCGGGAGCTGGCGTGCACTGGGCTGCTGGCGCGTTCGGATCTGACTCATGCGGCTTACTAATCTGTCGGCAGCATTTCTGCGGCTTCTATTCCCAGCGGCCTGTTCCCAACATCTCCCCACCCTGTGCTAGGAAGATGTCTCCCCCAAGGCCTCCCCACAGCTGTAGGGGCTCCCAGGAAGAGCTGGCAGCTCACACACGCGCTGGGGCCCCCATCAGGTGGGGTGGACCCCAGGTCCTGCCCTCAGGGGCTCCCCTCCCAGGGGTGCCAGCAACAATGGAAACGTGTTTCCCGTGTGGGGGTCAGGGCGTGATAGAACTGGGTGGGGAGCAGAGAGCGGGCCCCTAGGAGAGCTGAGGGCATCCCTATGGGGCTGGTGCTGTTGCTGGTCCTGGGAAGGACCCTTCCAGAAGGCGAGGCCCACTGGGGACACCACTGGTCCCCGATACTGGCCACTGGTCACGTGTCTAAGAAGGGACCAGATCTGGTTCAGGGGTTCAGGTCTCAGCCCCAGTAATGGCGGTGTGTCCTGCGTGATCACTGGCTGGCTCTGAGCCTTGACTCCCTTATCTGGAAAGTGGGGTCATCTGACCTGCCATGCGGAACCGTGGGGGCTCTGAAGACGGCATGGGTGCGGCAGGGGCCCCGAGTCCCCCACAAGGTGGGCTGGACACCCCACTCCACGCATTGGCTCCTTACCAAGTCCTGCCTCAGAAGCCAGCATGCCTTGGAGAGCCGACATAGGAGAGAGGCTCTGGCCTAGCAGGTTTCTTGACCTTTCTGCCTCAGTTTCCCTGGCTACACAATGGGAGGCCCTCCCCAGCTCCACATTTTGTGACTAAATATGCCTCTCGCTCACCTCACACATCACCCTGGAAGGCACCGCAGCCACCAGGGGACCAAAGATACAGCCCTGTCTGGCCCCTTCCCCGTCTTCTGAGGTCCAAACGGTCCCAGTCAGCCTCAGTTGTCAGGAAAGGGTCACGAGGCTAGGGTGGAGCCATTTCTCTGTGAGCTTCGTCTGGGGGTGGGATCGGTGCCCGCTGGCCTGCTGTCCTCTGCCGTGCAGGTGCCTGCTTTGTGCTGATGCTGGGCTGAGCACTGGGCTCTGTGGGTCAGGACTGGCCAGGCCACCGCACAGGGCTCCCGGGCAGGTACAGGGACAAGTCAGTGCCTAAGCTGGGTTGCGAGACCTAGGGGACATGCTAGGCATCAGGGAACGGCCTGGGCATGTGCTGCTTGGCCTCCCACCTCTCGCCTGTTATCCCGCCGGTTGCCTCAGTTTCCTCATCTGTTGCCCAGGGTTTGAATGTCCGGTGGCTGACACTCTGTCTTTCCCAGTCTTAGAAATTGCCAATAGTCCCAGGTTCTGACTGCAGGCCCGACAAAGTGACCCCTCACCAAGGGCCAGGCTGCCCCCTCCCGCCTGTCCTGAGTCTGCTGCACACACTCACCTGCTCACTGACCACACGGCACCTGCTGGCCAGCTCATCTCGCTCGACGCCGGCCTGGGCCAGCAGGTCCCCCAGCCGGGTCAGCTCCTCCTGCAGGAGCTCGTTCTCCTCTTGCACGCGGGCCATGGTGGCTGTCGGCTCCTGTACCCCTGCTGCACGGTACCTGGTTCAGCCTGGGTGGCCAGACCAGGGCCCACCCGCACTCAGCCTTGTGCCCTCTCTCCACGGTGGGACCCTGGGCTGGCCACCGGTCTCCAGCTGCTGGACCTGCCCGCATCTCCTGGGAGGGGCCCCAGCTCTGAGCCAGGGACCCTGACATAGGGAGGCCGACTTCACACTCTGAGCCAGGGACCCTGACGTAGGGAGGCCGACTTCACACTCTGAGCCAGGGACCCTGACGTAGGGAGGCCGACTTCACACTCTGAGCCCCGCTTCCTCTCATGTTAATTGGAATCCTACCACCTCAGAGTACCTGGAACCCCAGTGCAGACCCAGGCCCGGGCCGAGCCCTAAACCAATGGCAGCAGAGTATGTGGGCGGCCTGAACGCGGGGCACTCGCCCTGTCTGTGAAGCTGCGAGCCCTGCTGCTTCTAGGGGAAGGGACCTGGTCCCCGAGTAATAAGGTGCTTTTGTAAATACACACACAGCCAGTTCCCCGGACCTGTAGGAGGCCGGACAGATCCTGGGAGAGAGGGATCCCTGGGACCCACGCGTGGAGTCCTGGGCACACACTGAACAGGCAGCCTGGAGCTGGTTCCTCAGCCGCCAGGTGGACAATTGGAGGCAGCACAGGGGCCTGGGGCGGGTGCAGGAAGGGCAGAGCTTGGGGGGTGGGCGTCTGTGCTCCCTGAGTGCCAGTGTCTCGCATTTCCACGCTGAGGAAGAAACCAACACCAATGAAGCAGAGACTCAGGTGGACACAAGGGTGCCACACAGAGGCAGCCCTGCTCAGGCCCTGCTCAGTGCCCTGTGGGTATTGATGTGATGCCCCTGAGGGTGGCCCTGTGGGGGGTGGGGCCAGCCCCAGGCCCAGGACTGTCCCCCATGCCGTCACCTTGGGGTGGCTCCTCACTCAGGCTGCTGGCCACGATCTCACGGATGTGGGCGGGCACGGGGGTGGGTGAGGCCCGCCGGCCTTCCCCACGCATGGTCAGTGCCCGGTCTTCCCTGCTGGCCGTGGGACTCAGTATGGTGTCCTCCAGTCTCTGAAAGACACCCCCAGAGATATCTGGAGATGGCAGCCCCCAGCAGCTGCCAGGCACCCCCCTACAATCCCACTGAATGGGAGCTACCACAGGGCCACCCCAAGGCAGCGGAGTGCCCTGGAGAGGACAGGGTGAGGCTGGGCAGGTCACTCAGGTGCATGCCTTGGTTCTTCACCTGTGGAGTGGGGCTGCGCCTGTCCCCAGGTTCTGGAGAGGAGGACCACACCCAGCCGAGGTAGCAGGTACTGCACTTGGGGCTCTGCTCTGTCTTGGTGGGGGCTGGGCTGAGCGCTGGCTAAGCGGTCACCGGTCCCCTAGGGGATGCTGACAGGCAGGTGCCTTTGCCTCTGCTCCACAAGAAACCCACCATCCTCGCCCACCTGGAGCAGGTGGTCTCACAGCTTGTTTGCACGGTGGGGCCAGAGGAGGGACCTAGATCTCATGCAGCAGTCACAGACCCCAGCGTGTGTGTGTGGTGTGGGGTGGGGGCTGAGGACAGGTCAGAGGGCTGAGGCTGAACCCATCCTTCTCTGCTCAGCTGCCCGCTGCCCCTCCACAGGCTCGGTCCATCGGGAGGGTGGGCAGGCCTGGGGCTGCATGCTTGAGGCTCTGAGGATGAGCAGAGCCCGTGGAGCCCTCTCCTCCCACGGCCATGAATTCTGGGCAGAGTCAGGGACTCCCACCCTCCGGCTGCCCTCAGAGGGCTGCATGGGCCGGGGCAGTGAGGGTAGCGAGGACAGCGAGGACAGCCTTCCTTCCCAGGTGGGTCCTTCATGAAAGCCGACTGCCAGGGAAGAGACTCCAATAGGCCCAGAAGTGGGCAGGAAGGCCCAGGACCTGAGCTCACACTCGGGAGGTGTTTGCTGAGTGGCTGCCCTGCTGCCCCAGGAGCCCCTGGGTGTCCTGGGTATCCCAGCCTGGTTTTGAGGGTCTTGGGCCCTAATGGCATTTTGCTGGGCAAGGGCACAGCTTGGGGAGGGCCGAGGCACTAGGGCAGGGGACTCCTGCCAGGTGGAATAGATTACTGACTGTGGGCAGGACACACAGGGCCCTGTGAACACGGAAGTCGACTGTGCCAAATCAGCAGAAGCCCAGGCAGGATCCCGCAGGAATACACAAGGCCACAGCTGTCCCCTGGCCTGCTGCCTTAAGGATATCTAAATTTCAGGCAGTGAATTAACTACTAAAGGGTGACCGGATGCTTGCCAGGGGAAGCTGGGAGGGTATGTCCACTCCTAGGGGCTCTCCAGCACGACACTCCAGAGTCTGCCCAAGTCCTCCTTGCCTGCCTCCCACGTCAGCACGGAGGACCCCTCTCCCTGGGGTCCGCAGAGCTGCTCCCTCACCCTGTGCCTCCTGGATCTTCCTCCTGCCCAAGGTCCTTGTGGGTGACCACCTGGCCGCCTCCTGCCTCCCATCTTCTCTTGGCCCTCCCTGAGACCCTGCTTGCGTCCCCGGATTCTGACCTCAGGCCTGGGCTGGTGGCTGTGCCCTGCTCCCCAACCCCGGCCCTCCTCCTGACCCCAGCCAGGCCTTCTGCACCTGGTGTGTGCTGTCCCGGCTGTCTCGGATGCTCCCTGGACACAGGCCTCATCCTCCATCTGCATCCCAAAGATCTCAGCCCCCCTCGCCAGGGTTGGAGAGTCACCACAGACCCAGGCTCAGCATGGCGCCTGGAGAGGCCCTATTCTGACCCTGCTGCCCTGTGAAGGTCAGCCACTCAGCAAATGCCTCCCAGGGTGAGCCCAGGTCCGGGGCCAGCCAGCCCTCCTCCAGACAGCTCCAGAGTCCGGAGATGCACCAGAGTCTGCATCTCAGTCCCCTGGGAGGTCTTGGGAGGTCTCTTCACTGCCGGTTTCCCTGCACTGCAGGTTCCCCCACTGCCTCTTCTTCTGGAGGGAGTAAGGGCCCCCCTTGGGAGCAGCAGCCCAGTGGGGCAGGGGGAGGGACGTCCCTGCTCCTCCTCCTGGGCCCAGCTGGGACCCAGGTGCCAAGACCACCAACCAGGAGGAGAGCTGCTGGAAGGGGCTCCGCTATTCTGTTCTAAACCCCTTATTTTGTACAGCGGAGAATGGAGGCCCAGCAAGGTGGCAAGAGGCACCCCAGGCTCCTTGATCAGAGACCGTCAGGCCACGCTCAACCCCCCAGGCCGGGAAGGGCTCCGCCGCGCCCTCCCTCCGCCTGCTCAGCAGCTCCCGCCCTGCGCTCCCCCGGGCATCAGCGGCGCCACCCGCTAACGGGAAGGCAGCAGCGTGGCGTAAACTTGACTCATTCCTAACATTTACAGAGGGTCACTTATTAGCGGGACGTCCCGAGAGGCGCTGGGGCCTAATGGGTTCCATCTGTGGACGGGTGCCTGCAATGGGCCGCGGCCCAGCTGGAGCCGGAGGGGGGCGCGGGGAGCGCGGGGGGGTGCAGGGGTCGTTCAGGGGGGCGGAGGACGCAGGGGGCGTGGAGGGGGCACGGGGGGTGCAGGGGAAGCAGGACGCATGGGGGGGCGCGGGGGACGCAGGGGGAGCGCAGAGGGGGGCGCCGGGAACGCAGGAGGCGTTCAGGGGGGCACGGGGGGTAGGGGACGCAGAAGGGGGCAAGGGGAACAGAGGGGGCCAGCAGGGGGTCGCGGGGGGACGCAGAGGGGGCGCAGGGGGCGTGACTTTGGAGTGTGAGGGCAGCGCCGCCCCCACAGAACCACCGGAAGAGAGAGGGGCTGAGGGAAGGAGCAAGCAGGAGAGGCAGGAATGGGAGGGGAGGAGAGGGGAGGGGAGGGGAGGAGAGGGGAGAAGAGGGGAGGGGAGGAAAGGTGGGGGTCGGCGTGTCCGGAGGCCTGTGCCGCCAACCTAAGCGATTGGGACCCACCCGAAGCTGCCTCCTTCCCCGTGGCTCCAGGGTGGTCCTGAGGGTCTGCACCGCTCACTCCCGAGGCCCCTCCCCGGGGCTCCGCGCTGCCACCTGCGCCAGCGGGTCCGGCCCAGCATTCCCTCCGCGGCCTGTGGGTCCTTCTGGGCCTGCTCGTTTCCTGCCCGGGGCCTCTGAGGGGTGGGCCCAGGCTGTGGCCCAGGTTGGGTTGGGGGCTTCTATTCTAGAAGGCCTTGTGGTGGGATCTATTCTAGAAGGCCTCGCTGTGGGAGGGAACACCAGGGCTGGAGGTCACTTTCCCTTAAGGTTCCAGACTCACAGTTGAGCCCGGTGTATCTTCCTCCTGCCCCCAGCACCCTCTTCAGCTCTACCTGCATTAAAGACCCCAGGGAGGTCACAGCCCCTGCGTGGAGCTACCCTAGGGGCAGCTGGCCTGCTCAACCCGATCCTGGCCCTGAAGGGGGTGGCCCAGCAGGGAGAGCCAGCGGGTCCTCACCGCTGCACCACCCCATTTCGTTGTGTGGAGAGGGACAGCCGAACCTTGGGGGAAATGTGGGCTCCCCATATCTCTGCCTCCCCAGGGTCAGAGCAGGGCTCCCCTCTAAGAGAGCTGGACTGGGTTCCTTGCTATGCCACCAATAAACAGAGACCCAGGGTGTGTTACCCCCCACCTCATGTCCCCATCTGTGAAATGGGAGCATTGGCAATCCAGGCCCTCCTGGGTCCCAGGGCCGGGGGCTAGGGCTCTGTGAGGGTGCAGTGGATGGACCACGTGTGGCCTCAGCTGCCTGCCCCCAACTGGCCACCAGCTCCTGGGAAATGCTGGAATCTTGCCTGGAGGCAAATGACCTCCACCCTGTGATGGATTCAGAGCCCTCCTGTGGATCCAGGGCTCCACCTGCACTTTGGCACTTGCTGGCGACCAGGGGTTTCAGGGCCGCTGCCAGGGCCTCTCCTCTTACACCCCTTCCCCATTCCACGGTCTTGGCCAAGATCCCGGAATGGGGGGCCGGGAGGTCGCTTTATCATACTCTGTGCTGCAGATGGGGAAACTGAGGCCAGGGACACGGCACCAGCTCTCCACTGGGGTGCGGTGGAGCCAGAATGCACCTGCCAGCCTGTGCTGCCTGCAAAAGGCTTCCACCTGCAGGGAGGGTGCAGGGACTCTAGGCCTGCACCGAACAACCCAAGTCTTGTTTATCTGGAGGCCACACTCTTGCACTGATTCTCATCCCTGCACCTGGGGCATGACCTTGGAGATGCTGTCAGGGGTCAGAAGCCCCGGAGGGAAATCCCCAAACCCTTGTCAAAGCCACCTGAAGCAGGGACGGTCAGGGACCTGCTGAAGCTCAGACCCAAGGGGCACTGGCCCCACCAGCCCTCAGCAACCTCAACACCCCTGTTGTCCCATCCTGCCTGGACAGTTGCCTGAGCTGGGGGCAGGACCGAGGCAGGGAGGGGGAGCATGTCCACTGGGACCCCCGCCCACCCACCAGCAGGCACCTCGGTCAGCCTGGGTCACCCTCATTGAGGGGGTGGAGGGTGGACCCCCGAGTGAGGGTTGAGATGGAGGCAGCTCCCAGCCAGAGGGTGGAGGGTGCCTTCCCCAAGCTCCAACAGTGCCCCCGTGTGGCCTCGAGGAGCGCTGCAGGGGGCTGCCAGGTCCTGCTCTTGTAGAAGGGAGGCTGGGCCTGGGGGTTTGGACGGCATCGAGGACCAGTGCTCAGTGGAAAATGAAAGATGTGTGTCCACGAGAGTGAAGGCGCGTGCCAGCATCAGCCCGCAGGGTTCTCCGCGCTCTCCACGTGCAAACGTTTTCACGTCCATTGTCCTGACCTGCATTGGAGGCTTCTGGCCTCCGCCTTAATGGGTGAGGAGGGTGAGGCTTGGCACCTCTGAGACTTGCTCAAGGGCACCTGCTCAGCAGCAGCGTTAGGACTGGGACTCTGGCCTTGGGCCCCCACTCGCGCACAAGGGTGGTCACTGATGAGCCTTCCCAGTGGCGGCGTCTGGACTTGGCTCCGCTGCAGGTCTCCTCCCCTGTGTGCCCGCTCCCCAGCCTGGGCAAAGGGCAGGGAACCACGCAGCTTCTGGGCCGGGCAGCAGCCTCTTTCCTCCTGTCTCTGAGCCCAGCTGTGCTGTGG